ATTTCCTCAAGCCCTATATTTCTGTATGTAGGGTTTGAGGAAATTCTATTTCAGTCTGTATCTGAGGAAATGTGCTTGCACATGAAAGCTTAAATAAAGTCTTAAGTTAGTTAAGGTGCTATATATCACAGATAAAAATTGGGTGGTAGAACTAGATTTTTATGTAAACATTTCTGGAACTGTATCTATTTTTGTGCTGGTCTAGAGCAACAGACTCCCGAAAATATGGTATTTTAGACTTGACTCAATTCATTGGAATTTATGGTTCAAACAGCACTGTGGGATAGGTGAATGGAATTGATACCATCTTATTATGTTGTTATATGTGATGTAGGTTAATGATTTGTTGGTGACTGACCGGTTTGTAATTTTGGATTCTCAAGACTTCTACATAATGTTTTGCAGATATTGTGTGTTTTGAAATGTTATACTTGATCTTAATAAACATTTTAAAATTGAAAAAAATAATAATAAATTATTCATTCATACATGCAACTATAAATTCAGATGTAATTATATCTCCAAGACACAAACCTGTTTCTTCAAGAGTAGTAGAACTTCCTCCAAAGTAGGTTGTACCCCAGTTTCAGCATTCTCACCAACACCATTCTTTACTTGCCCTGGATCCAGTTGTCTAGAAGAAAGGTAGGCATACAAATATTTAGAATAAATAGTCAACTCCTCGTTACACAGTATGTGGGTAAAAATATCCCTCATTTTTTTATTCTGTGCTTTCTTTCTGTGCCATTTGGTATCTAACCTATGGTTCCTGGGCAAGAAACATCAGCCAGTTCTGAGGAGGCCATTCCCGGGAAGTCCATACTGCTTAGAGTTCTGCTTTTGCAGGTTGTTCTGATCTCCTTCTTCAGTTCTTCAGTCAGGAAAGGGGAGAGAAAAGGGGCAGCCAACTATGGGAAAAACACAGCCAGATGTTCAGTTTGGGACAGAAAAAAGATTGGAGGAGGTAATCACCTGCCTTTTGTAAGGTTTGTGAGTCTCATTCCTATCCCATGTGCAGAAATTTTCAGTGATTCATACCCGATTTCCAAGTAATTGGGGAGATTTTTCATCTTGTTTCAGTGCTTTATAATAATAATGCCCTTAACTAGAAAATTACAAAATAAAAAAATTGATTTCATTACTGTTTGGAGGACAGTGAAATGTTTAATGCTGTTTTGCTCATTTGAGCTTCTGAGGTCCTTTTGTAGCCTTTGATTCTCTGAAGTAGTTGACTAACCCTTGCATCTTGAATTGAAAGCAATGGATGTTTGGCAGTACCTTCATGGGATAGCTTGTGTACTCCCTTTGGTCTTCCTGTCTTGTTAATAAACATAGGACATCACTTTCTAATGTGATCAGAGACGTCCTAGCTGCATATATAATACTAGTGCAAAGGAGAAAAAAGATTTCAGAGTGAGTGAAATTGGAGATTGGAAATGGTGTAAATGGGAGGCTTGTTTACTTGAATTCCATGAGTATGGAGTTTCTTGGGGAAGAGGGTAAAACATTATTGTTCTAAAAAGAAGAAAAGCAAGCTTGAATGGTGAATGGCAGGTGAGATTTTGCTGTTGGATAGCTGTATCAGTGAGTGAGTGGATTTACAGATAAACCCTCAATAGAATCAAAGCCCACCACCTCCTGTGAATGTTGCCATAAGGTTGTAAGCAAGGGAGCCAGGCTAGATGGGTGTAGACAAGAGGGGGAAAGATAAGTTAGTGAGAAATATGTGGGTTTTAGGTCAGCAGCTTGATGTAAGTTAAAAAAAATTGATAAGGCAGGAAGTGGGGAAGAATAACAAGCTGCTAAGACTGAAGTTTTAAGTGTGTTGCAGTTATTTTTCATTATCTTATTCTTATTTTTCAGGGTGGCCATTTTTAGATAGCTGAATCACTAGCCCCCTCAGTGATCAGCTGAGAAAATACCTTACTTATCGGTATTTATCAGGTATTTTTTCGGCTCAGTTTATACTCGGCTCAGTTGCTCTGTAGTTTTTCCAAGGAATGGAGGATTGGTTTGAGAGGCATTGGTTGATGTCTTACTGCACTTATGAGATCCTGAAACAGTCATAGACAATATGTGCTTCCAAACTGGTCCTGTCCAACTGGAATATGGACATTGTTGTTGTATCATTCCCAACTTTTTTCTTTTTGAATGATGTTCTGGTTGCTGAAACCTGTCTCCCTGTTTCCCTTTCCAAGCACCTCATCCTGCAGTTGATTCTTACTCTACCCCTTAGGGCTGCCAACTTCCAGGTGGGACCTGGCATTCTCCCAGAATTACAACTGATCTCCAGACTACAGTTCCCATGGAGAAAACAATTGCTTTGGAGGGTGGATTCCTCCCCTCTTCAAGCTTTAGCCTTCCCAGGCTCCACTTCTAAATCTTCAGGAATTTCCCAACCTATATTTGGCAACCATATACCTCAATTTGTCTGTTAGTTCAGCCTTTTTTGAGGTTAGGAATAAGGCTTACTAGCTAGATTTATATAATAGATTTTGTCTGAGATCTCTCCCTGTGTGAGAGATTTTCATTGTGTTTTTTCCTGTCTGTGTTCTGCTGTAGCAGCAGTAAATATTTTAGAAGTGTTTGTGCTTGTGCGCCAACTATATGAAATGTGGATATGATAGAGAAGGTTGATACATCTGTTTGCACTGCTGGAACACCACCTGCAATCTCTGCAGCACCCTCTACTGAGGGAGAAGCGAGAGGAGGTAGGGGGAAATCAGCCCTTGTTATGTGTTCTCTACTCAAAATCTACCATCCTGCCTTCTTGTTTAGCACCAGCACAGTGACAAAGCAGCAAGCAGTGGTAAAGGAGACCTCGTTCAGCTGTCCTCTGTCCTGTCTGCCTTCTAGTACTGTCTAGAACCCTTGTCCGCCTGCCACCACCAGCTTTCCTCTGTTCCACTGTGACATGTCCTGGTGACACTTTCACCACTGTTCAGTATTCTGAATACCAAGATTGCAGTCATTGCTTAGCGCTCAGGTATCATTGCCTGGCAAGTATGGCTCCTGGTGTGCACTTGCCACATCTGGGCAGCTCCTTGGGGTTGGCAAAAGCAGTGGGGAAGGGTTAGGGGGCTGAGAGAAACTTAAAAATAAGTTGCCTTGTGTTGTTTTTTAATTGGGAGATGGTTGTTTCCTATTGGCTTTAATAGAATTCCAAATATTTTGAAATTCCAGTTGTTTTAATAAATATGATTCTGAATGTTTGTGCTGGTTCACATTGCCAATCTTAACACTGCCAATTCATTTGGTTTACAGAAGAACATTCCTGTCAATGACAGCTCTGAGATTATTTTATCTGCCAATAATCTAATAGTAGGCGCGTTTCATCTTTCAACATAGAGCCCAGGACCATTTCAAGGGTGTAATATTATTTAGGCCTCCAGTTATTCATATTAGTGGCATGAAGTTAATACAAGCATTTCAATTCTTGGAGTCCTCTGCAAATATGAAATTTATGACTGAAAGAATCAGCTGTGTTATATCAACAATTCATTTTGTGGTATTCCAGCTGACATGGTATCTTTCCTTTATTTATTGATATCTTCAGTCATCAGCAATGAGAGGAAAATACACTATTTGTCAAAGTCAACAGCATTCTATCCTCAGTTACAATTGATGCTGCTGTTGTCTTGATGGCTGGACAATAAGCTTCACTGTTAGAAGATGCCAACTGACAAACTATTTTAACAAAAGGAACTGTAAAGCAATTTGGGGGCTTTGTTTACCAGTTGGAAATGTTGTATTTATCTATTTATATATATTTACACTACTTTATTCATACTAATGTACAATAGTTGAAATATTCTCTGTGACCCCTTTTTAAAAAATGAACACATGATGAAATAAAATTTGTCAAATCAAACACAGTTGCCCCATCTGCAAGTTTTCAGGCAGGCTATCCCAAAGACTTGGGGCATCTGTGGAGAAGATCTTGCCATGATCTTACTGCAGTACTACAGACCTTACTCATCAAGGGAGCTCTCAAGAATACCCGCTGGGCTGATCTCAACAGGCATGTGGACTCATGTGGGGTTTAACTTCAAAACATTTATTTTATTTTATTTTGCTTTAGTTGACCAATGGTTGAACATTTGGAAAACTGATTTGTCATATTCTAAGTTACAATTATTGCTCTTTTGCGTGTGTTGTATATGTGTTTGAAGATTTTGGTTGTTTGAAAGCTTGGGGCGAGTAAAAAAGCAATGCAAATAGAGAATGGAGTAAAACATAACATATTCACTGAAATTTCCCTACCCTTTTCCAAGAGTGTGTCATGGTCAGTGTAGCATAGTGGTTCGAGTAGTACCTGGGGCAAGGGGCAAGGGGATTTGAATCTTTGCTCTGCCATGGAAGCTTGCCAGATGACCTTGTGTCCATCAGACCCTCTCATCCTAACTTTCCTCAGAAGGTGGTTGCTGTTTCAATAGACTGGGGTGGGGGGGAGAACAATGTGATAAACCTCTTTGGGTCCTGTTTAGGGGGGAAAGTGAGGTATAGGGTGTTGTGTTTTTTTTTAAAAAAAAGCTAAGCTTGAGTCTCAGTCAGTGAAAGAGGGTAACAAAATGTTTTCAAATATTAACACCTGTTTGTTCACATGATAGTCTGACGCTTTCCCTAATAATAATAATATTGATTTTCATGCACATAGTATCATGAGGGTTACTGACAACCATGTGCCCCTGTACATGTTCGAAGTATCATGCACAGTACTAAAACATATTATTTTAAAGTACTGTTCATGGTGCTTCAAACATGTACAGAAACTATTGTGATGCTTCAGTTTTGCAGTTTCAAGTTCTGATGCAATTATTCTTTTTCATGGCATTTAAGATTATTCTTAAAGTGCTGGTAATTTTTTCTTCTTTGCATTTAGGGTGGTTATTAAGAATATTAACCTGCAGTGCTTTTTAAATGCATTTGTTACATTTCAGCTTGCCATTTACGGTCATCGTCTCTTATTTATTTACTTTTTAAAACATTTGTTCATGCAGAACAGATTGGTCAGGAGATGTTGGAAAATCTCAGCCATGACAGAGAGAAGATTCAGCGTGCTCGAGAACGAGTAAGTTTTCTACCAAAAACAGTTCATTGTTTATATTATCATAGATGGAAAAGGAGGGAATTATCAATACTTTCTTTTTTGCAAAGCGGCTGAGATGCCTGTATATTTGTCTCCATCTTATATGCAATTTTAAATCAAGGAAAACATGTCTGAACCTGCATACAATTTTAGTGAAAGACTTTCATGTCGCAGCAGACTAATACTATGGCCTTTCATGCTCCACCAAGCAGACCAAGAATATGTTTCCCCACATAATCCAAGTTCATGTCCATGTCATATTCTTCCTGATATCAACATTTATACCCATGTTCTCAGACAGGGATATTTCCAGCTCCCTATGATCTGCCACTCATTTAACTGGAGATACCAGAGATTAAACTTCAGACCTTTGGAATGAAAACTCTGCGTCCTGCAAATGAGACATAGGACCTTTTCCTACAGAAAAAGAGAAGGTATAGATAGATGATAGATAGATAGATGATAGATAGATAGATAGATAGATAGATAGATAGATAGATAGATAGATAGATAGATAGATGTCATGGAAGAATTACCAGGCAAGTAATTTTACAAATAAACTATCAAATGTGATTTTGCTTGGGCAGAGTGAATTCAGAAGGTCCCAGCATTTAGTAGAGGAGTCTTACTGTGCTCATGCCTTCATAGATTTCTTGAAATGATATATGCAATTCATAATAATACTGTTTTCCCCCATCCCACTCCTTTCATTGTTCTAGCTGTTGGATAAAACAAGTTCTGTTTGCTCTAGCAGATGGAGATCAAGGATGAGCATAGAACATCTTCAAGCAAACAGCTTGAGGACACTCTAGTTCTGACTAAGATAGCCACAAAGGTGCTTTTTGGACCAGAATTGGAAGATGTCTATTTCAGCAGCTGTACATTTGGCACCAGACACATAACTCTCATCTTTAGAGGCCTCACAAACATCTTTGCCTTGTGTCTATTGGTATTGCTGCTTAACTTTCCTTTTCTTGGTCCAGTATTAACTTATTGGCTATCTTATTGTAATATGTAATATTGTAACATGTACCTAAAACTCTTTGACCTCTGAAGGCCCCCAATAGGGTGGAAACGCTTCAGGTGTCATGTATATTGACCCTTGTGTTCAGGCCACTTGAACTTTTCAATGAGGCTTTCATTGGACCCTTATTTGCTTTTAACTGCCTGTCTAATAAATACATGTGTTTTTGTATAAGTTTTAACTAGGTTTTTAATATTCACCCTTTATTAGACGTCTTTCTAGACCTCCAAAGAATACCAGGGTCGGGAGGCAGAGGCAGGCTATCAATCCGCTTCTCTGAACGTTCTCCATACCCCAGTAGGAGTTGCCAGAGGTCTCCATGACTTCCAGGCATGGGCGCGCACACATACATGCAGAAACACAAAATGCAATTTCCCCCCCAAAAAAGAAGCCACCTATTTGTGTAATTCTTACCACATGAATAGGTTGTCCAAGTCATCTGAAGAGGGTAGGGACATGCACAAAAGTTTTGTTCATTTTCAGTTCACTTTATTTAAATCTATCATCATTGCTACATGTGCTTATTTTCCTAATTCTGATTTTATTTGCTCCCATTGCTTTCAGTAGAGACCAGACAGACAAAGAATTCCTATTTTATAGGCAATTTATTTACATTTAAAGTATTTATACCCTGCATTCTCAGCTAGACTGGTTACCAAGGGTAAATGAAATTAAAGACATTGAGAGATCCTCATTGCTGATTTCTCTTGACCTGTTTATTTTGGATCCGGTTGGACAATCTGGTTTGTCGTAACATTCTCACATGTACAATAGGCAGAAGTTGACATGTGGCAAATGAAGAAAGTAGGTAATGGGGGGTACAAATAATACATAACAAGAGTGCTCTTATATATGAGTCCGTCCATTCACATCTAAAAGGATGTGAATATTTAGGAAAGTTCACAAAGAGGGATGTGAATATTTAGGAAAGTTCACAGGCAAACAAAATGAAATTAGATCTTGCTTCTCTCTGCTCTGTTTCTTTCAACATTTTTATTCAAGCCTAGTGGTGTGATACTGGAAGTGAGCTTTGTTGGCTGCAGCTTTTAAATTAAAGATATCATGAGATCTCGGATGCATCCCCATTGCTGATCTCTTGTTTTTTGCTGGCCTGTCAGTATTTCTCTCTCTGTAGTACGTTATTGATCCTGATTGCAGAGAGATACCTGTTGTAGAAGGGGAGGACATTTGTTTCATTCCCCCTTCAGTTCTCTGTTCAAACCACCCAATACAGCTGCTTGAGGAGGTGCGAGGAGGACAGTGTTGATGCTTCACAGGGGCTCAACTTGCTTCTGACCATTAGCGCAGCAGAGACAATAGGCCTGTGCTTCTATTCACTGTGTTCCTTCAGGGACTCAGCTCAGACCTAGCCACTGGGAGCATGGGAGAAAGCACTTTGCTTGGGATAACAAAATACCTTGAAATCTCTTGAACTGGTCCTGCTGCCTAGTCTGCAGTGCGAGCTGCCTATTTGCTGACAAAATGTTTGCCTCCATTTGGCTAGCAGCAGATCCCACCTATCGGAACACATTTGCCTCTATCTTCTCTGTTCTGCAGTGCTGCTTGCCTACGTGGCAGCATATGCAAGCAAATGTTTATGCCAGGCACTGCCCAAGAGAGAACAGAATGGCAAGCAAAGAGGAACTATTTTTATGATGAGGAATCAACTCAAAGAGCCACTCCTACAAACAGTGGTTGGTGCAAACAACACCTTTGAAACATCCGTGCATAACTGATGATTGGTCAACCGTACTGTAACATGCAGATCTGAATGTTTCCTATGCACGCTGTGATTAATTTTTCACTTTTGCCTACGTAATAATAATATTAAAGAACAGTGTCAAATAAAATATGAAATGCAAAGTTAGAGTGTTGGAGTAGAATCTGGGAGACCCAGGTTTGAATCCCAGCTTGACCATGGAAGTTTGCTAGGTGATCTTGTGCCAGTCACTCTGTTTCAGCCTAACTCATAGGACAGTTCTTATAAGGATAAAATGGAGGAGGGAAGAAAGAATGTTGATGTAAGCTGATTTTGGTCCCTATTGAGAAGAAAGGTCAAGTATAAACATCTTGATAAATAAAGAAAAATTGTACCTATACAATAAGGAAGATTTTCTTTGGTTTGTTACAAAAACAAAGTTTTCTTCACATAATAGGTTTATATGCAGTATTTCTTATAAAGAAACCTTGTCTCCACAGCTGAGAGAAACAGATGCCAACCTGGGTAAGAGTTCGAGAATCCTAACAGGAATGTTACGAAGGTAAGGGCCAGGTAGGGACTCCTCTCTTTCTTCTTTCTTCAGATATATGTATTATAATGTAGATTCAGGTGGGTAGCCGTGTTGGTTTGAAGCAATAGAACAAAGTTTAAGTCCAGTGGCACCTTTAAGACCAACAACGTTTAAGCTTATACCCAGAATTAAACCTGGTCTTAAAGGTGCTACTGGATTCAGATTTTGTTCTATTATAATGTAGTAAACAATCATAGATTTTGTCAGGATTTTCTAGCATTTGGAAATCAATACTCAAAGTGATTATGCTTAGTTCCTTTCACTGTGAAAATAGTTTAGGTTTGCTCTACAGCCTTTTCTTCAGAACCTTAACTTTAGGTCCGTAGAGTATTAAACCTATTGTTTAACTAGTTGTTTAACTGTCTTGGCCACCCTATCAGGGAAAATTTAAAATACATGGAACATTTAGGTTGTGTTGTTTCCAAAAGACACTTCCGTATACAAGCAGAGCTTGTGCCTGTGTAAGGATGCTCATAGGACAGTTCTGCTGCTTTCCTATTCCTGTTAGCACTTGTGTACTATACACTAGATGATTACAGAGAATGAAAGATCTGAGTATGTCTCCTATTTCCCAACCCAACCCTGTCCCCTCAGCTTAGTCAAGGAATATGAGTTCTGTGCTACTTCCCTTGGTTTAGGAGTAAAAGTAAGATGGAGATATGGAAGGTCTCCTGTTTCCATAATTCCATAATAATGTGCCAATGCACATATTCAGATTTGGAAGAAATAGGCCTTTATTATGCTGTATGGAGATCCCCAAATGCTATGACTCCAACATGCAGGAAAGAAAGATCCTCTTGGTATTTTGTGCATATTTCTCCCATAAATTATAAAAAAGATGTAGGGGAACTGAAAGATAACTTTTCCAGTTCCTTGTACATTTGGCAGAATATCCTATCTGCAAACTATGTCTGCCAGATCTTTACTGAAGTATCTTTTCTGAAAAACCTCGCATGAAGAGAAGAGTTACAGCATCTTTTGTGTCATTACTAAAGTGCCTTGCTGGTTAAGAAGCTTTTCTTGAGACATAAGCTAGGGTTGATATCATGTTTTGCACTGATAATGCCATTAGAAATTATTTATCACATCATTTTTGGCACCATGAAAGGCATGAGTAAAAGAATGTGTGTATGAAGTTTAGGCAGAAACAAGTTCAGGACAAAAGGCAAAAATGAGTTTCTGTAAGGATTAGCTATTGTAGATTTTCCGAGCTGTATGGCTGTGGTCTTGGCATTGTAGTACCTGATGTTTCACCAGCAGCTGTGACTGGCATCCTCAGAGACATGACACAGAAAGATGGACACGGAAAGTACTCCATCTTTCTGTGTTATACGGCCATACAGCCCAGAAAATCTACAACAACTAATGAACTCTGACTGCGCCCTCATCTTGAAACATGTTATCACCGTGTGGCCCTATTATAGAAGTACATATGCTATACTGTGACATTCTGTGAGGTGGCTGATCGGACCTGCTTATACTGTGCTGACCAGTTCCTTTATAAAAATAGTCTCTTTGGAGTTTGTTTTTACTTTATAGATCTGTTGAGTACCACTGCTAGGTATATTTGCTTTTTTGTTAAGACTCAGGCACCTAGGCTTGTCCACTTCCATACAGAACAGTACTTTATTTTCAGAAAACACAACAGGGGGATGGAAGATATAGACTAGGGCTGCCAAATGCAGCCGGGGGGCGGGGAATCCCCCGTTTCGGAGCCCCGAATCCCGGCACGCCGGAATTGGGGCCTGGGGGAAACCCCACCCCCGCGTGCGTGTCACCCGGAAGTGACGTCGCACGCTGGGGGCGGGGCCACGCGATTTGAGGGGGAAACAAAGAGTTTTCCCCTCAAATGGCAGCCATTTGAGGGGGAAACTCTTTGTTTTCCCCTCAAATCGCGTGGCCCCGCCCCCAGCGTGCGACGTCACTTCCGGGTGACGTGCACGCTGCGCGCGCGCTATGCGCACGCACCCGGGATCGTCCGGGAGCCCCCCGCTCCCGGACGATCCACATTTGGCAACCCTAATATAGACAGAGGATAATTTGTTTCTTTTCAGACTTGAACTTTTGGCTTGGCTTACACTTAGGCAGTATGTTTGTTACTTTCCAGTTTCACACAGATGTTAAACAATTCACTAAACACCCTAATAAGTACACTCTCCTGTACTGCTTTGTGGTTAACCTTTGGCTGTGGCTTTCTGGCCCCTTTGGAGCCCAACTGGCCACCAACCAGCTGTACTGACTCTGCCAGAGCATTCCTCAGCCCTCTCTTAACCACCTCTCCCAGTTCCTTTAGGAGTAATGTATTTGATGTTTGTGACCGCTTATGTGTTTAACATTCACAAGTCTATTCACTGTCCTCTCTCCTTTAGAGGAACTCATTAAACCTGACTATTCAGCCCCAGTTATCTGTTCCAACTGTTATTAGGCTGTTCACTCAGAGCTGTAGAAGTCTGCTTCCTCCACAGAGCTCCTCAGTTAGTTGACCACTCTCTGCTAACTCCACTGATCAGCTTCCCACTGCTTCTCCCAGCTGCCAGCCCCAAACAGTTTTGCCAGTTATGTGTCAGTCACTGAATATTCTGAGCTAAATGGCCCCCTCCTCACTCAGTCATGTAACTCAGCAGTGTTCCTTGTTTACATTCTGGTGGTCCCAGATCTTTAATTCCATCACACATGTGTATACAAACAAATATTCTTTAAAACAAACATTATAGCTGTGCTCATTAATCTTTGTCTGTCTTTAAGGTTATCATTGAACAATTTAATGTTATTCTTTAGTGCATTATGACTTTATAAAGACCAGCACACATATTTCAACCACCCTATGGAGGCCATTTTAAGTGCCTCCACATTGTGGACTATTCTCTGCTCACCATGTGGATCAGACAGATTTTTCAGTTGTTCTGTGAGCAGACAAAGAAGTCTGGGGAAAAGTGTGTGTTGTGGAGAAAAATTGCTTGATCCATATGGTGAGCAGCTGCACGTGAGTAGCTTGCCGTGTGGAAATAGCTGCACATTAAGTGATTTAAACTGTATATACTAGTCCTTAATCTCCCCATGAAAATATCATGAGGGTTTTTTTTAAACTTATTTGTTTATTCAACTGAAAAAGGTTAAGATACCTGGACCTCTTGCCTCTATTTTACAAACTTCTCACAATTCAGACTCTGAAGCATAGCAGACAAAATTTTCTGATTAAGAATAATATGTAAATGACACAAGCTAAATTCAAAATCCATGGAGAAAGGAAGTGACAATTGAAAGAGATGGTTCAGCGCCTGTAGACAATCAAAATAATAATAAAAAAACTCCACAGCCAAACCCATATTCTCCCCAGGAAGGGCCCTGAGACATGAGCTGTAACGAATATTCTGCATATGTCTCCATTTTGTCAAATCTTATTAAAGGATTTTCTTGCTTTATGTCAATTGAGCTGTCCAAAAATCATTCATCATTTTTAGTGTAAAAAAAAGTCATGCAGTTATTTAAATAATATCATATTAATGTTAAAGTTCAGCTGTCATTTAATAGTATGGCTTAATCAGACATAGCATTTAAGAAAAATAGTTTTTTCAAGCTTTACTTCGCTTTCAGGTTGGCAGATTCAAATAAGGATTTATGGGTTTTTAAACCAATGTATTTTTGCCCATGTTTATGCTTGATGTACCTCAGCTTTTCTTTCAGGCGTCTGCAGTCCGTTATTTTCAATAAAATAAAATACCTTCTCGTATTGTGTTTGAATACATTTGCAAGTAATTTAGTCAGGGTGAAACAAAAACATGCTTTAACCTTTGACACTGTTATGTGCTTGGGAGTTGCAGTTAGGACTCCTAGTTTATAAGTGTTCTGTGAGCCAAATGAAAAAATTGACCTTTGTGAAATATTCATGGGGCCCTGTTCTCAGACAAATGGATTATGTAGTCAAATGTTTAAAAGGACATGCCTTTTTTGTATTTCATAAGGTCATTTAATTTCCTTTTTCTGTACAAAACAACAGCAACACAGAACCAAATTTACCCATTAGAATAGGGAGGCAAGTTCCACTTTCAGTCCAGCAGATTAGCATATTGGTGAAAATCATATAGATACGCACATTTCTATCCTTGTATAGACGTGATTTGTACAGTGTAGAAGATACCTGATAACATTCCAGGGCAATTATTCCCTGTATTTTAAATTTGTTTTATATACATAAGAACAAGACTGGGTAGCTGTTTCCCAGAGTCAGCATTTTAATGGTTATTTAGGATCATTCAAAATGCCCCCATAAGAGAGTGAAAAAGAACAGTCAGCAACGATCTAGGTCATGTTCAGTTTCTAGAAAACAATAATTACCTAAGGGCAGCAGTTAGGTTTTTCCGGTCGTTCCTTACTATTCTTGATATCATTCAGATATACATTTAAATGCTGAATTGAGTGGTAAATAGCTAAATTTTACCTAAGTACTATGTGAAAAGCAATGTTGCTAAATTGAGGTAGAAAAAAATTACTGTGTAGCCGAAATGATAATTCATTTGAAAGTATAAGTTCACCATATTGGTTGAAAGTATGATGTTCTGCCATGGGTCCTAAATAATGATTAATTAAAGCAATCAAAAGGATTTTTATATTCATCTGGCAGCTGTCTTCTGTACATGGAAATTCTTCTCTCAACAGCCACTTATTCCTTCCATTTCTATCATCCACTGTAGAAATGTTGAGACAGAAGTTTTAAAGAAATTTTTTAAATGCAGTGTCATGTGGTAGGTAGCAGAACAGTCTCCTATTAGGTGTAGCACTTAATATGTGTGTGGTAGAGGGAACAATGTAAATGGTAATAGATCAGCTATCATCTTTCCTTCTAAAAGTAAAGCTAGTCAAGTGCTTTGGCAATAAAGCTGTAGAATAGACTTACCTTTAGTCAAGGGAGGCATTTCAGAATACCTGGGGCACCTTCCAGACTTGCAGAAAAAGAATGCTGTGCGATATTT